ATCCAATCAAATAATAAGTTTTTCAGTTCCAATTTTATTGTTGGTTAGCTTTACCTGCGAACTTACTAGTATTCTAACCAATTGCACTCAAATTTTATTAGTTTAAAACCTCTGACTTTTAAAGATTTTTCTACATTCTCGCCATACCTCTCGCCTTACCAAGGAAGCAAGGCATTTTAATGTGAGAAAAAATTGCATCTGAAATCGTGTCTTGAGTATTTGCAATAATTTCTAGTAGGTCGTAGTCGTGTAGCCAAAGAGCTCAATTTTATCGTAATATCTACAGAAAATCGAAGAACTTTGATCGAAAGAAGAAGAGTTTGTTCCATAATCTTTAGGTGATTGGCATTTAGTGAAAATATGCACTATCTACCTGTTAAGATGGTTAATCCTCAACAAAACATGGTGAGATTCTTCTGCTGAAAGTCTTTCTCATGCGTTATTACATCCTACTTTGATAAAATGACTAGTTTCATGCGAACTATATTTGCTACGCATGAATGCATTGTGTACATTACCTTTATATGACGGTCAATATTTTAGTCATAATTTTTGTAAATAAGTGTCAAATGACGAGAACATTCAATATTGATAGGATTCAACATGAAGATGAGATAAGGCAGTGCACCTAGCGTCACATAGTCTAAAGTTATATGAACGTCTCAGTTGTACTAGTTTCTATTTTACATGCGCGATATTAAAAAAAATTTCGAGCTGAACTAGAAGCTCTTCTCGATCGTCTAATAACTAGGATTCAGTCATTTTTTCTGATACCTGATAGTGGAAGGGAAGAATATAGCATAAAAACAATAGAGTTGTGTTAGAGATTTAACGGCATCATCAGTGGAGACAGATGAGATGATCGAGAAAGCAAAATGAATAGAATTGGACAAGAGATGTTTGTGTGTGCCAAAGGTAAAGAAAAGAGATTGCTCTTCATCTCTAGCCGAAAAATAAGCTATTTAGCGGAACATATATTAATGATTTGTTGGTTTTTTTAACTATTTTAACGAAAAAAACGCTAAAAAAAATTCATCATAAGATACGACGGCATAAGTCTGTTCCCGATTAGAACTATGCATTCGTCTTAACGTAAGACGTTTCGAAACGTCTTATGTTATTCCATCTAAACGGGATCGAATTACGCTGTCTTATTTTAAGACGGATCAATTTATTCGCCTTATTTACTTTCATTAGCAATTTAGTTTTAAGGATAATTTTGACTTAAGGTTCGGCTAATTCGAAGTAGAATCCCTTTCTTTCGCCCTCAAATCGCCAAAATACTGAGACGAACGCCGAAATCAAAATAAGTGCTTCTTTTGAGTATTTCGACCGCCGTTTTCTTTGCGTTTCACTCTATTGCCTTGAATGTTGCACGGCTGGATTCAGCGCATCAAACTGCATAGAGGCACATGTTTTTAAAGTTCCGAAAAGCCTTTTTTCGATTCGGCAAAAAGTCCACCATGAAAAGAGCAGTCCACGGCGGGAAAAAACGATCTAGTCCCTGGATTTTAGAGATAGAGATTTGGTTCTTGCGCCAAAAGATGCGCCTTGAGACGGGCTACAATGTGACAGCTCGAGATTTTCGATTTTATCCTTTCCTGTCAAAATGTTTCTTTTTCTTTCTCCACGCCAAGCAATCCTTCAGGCCATTTTCGACTAAGTCACACATGTTTCGTCCAAACTGGCTCAAACTCTCAGATTATAGGTAGAAACTGATGCCAAAAACGATGGGAGTGGTTTCAGAGCCTTGGGAGGATTTCTAGAAAACGCGTCAAAGCTCTTCGGGAGCTCTCATGCATGTAACGTCGGAGATTGTGATGAAACTTCACTTGACTAGTCCACTGGTTCGAACTTTATTCTCGAACACAAGAAAATAGTACAAAAGCAAGGCATAGTGAAAAAAAATACAAATATCTGAGTGAGAAACTGAAGCTGCTTGAGAAATACAAGTAAAACCTATCGATCTCCATCATCAATCTTGGTGTTGACGATCTTTCAGTTCGACTTGACCTCACTCTTACACAAGTTGCTAAAGAACAGACACAATACTTCCTTGTATATTTCTAATTTAGAGTTCATTCTTTCAAAGATAATTTTTCAAATTTCAAACAATAGATTTTTCTTTCCAATTAGGTTTTGTCGACAAATTCATATAACACATCTGATAAACCCTAAGACGCGCACGATAGGAAGAGCGATGTTTTTAGGAACGGCCGGATTTCAGAACCATTTTTACATAGATCGACCGGTCTGAATGTTAGCTACGTCGCTATATAAAAATTTTTACTCAGTCTTAACAATTAGCTGAAAAAAATACGAAATACAAAAACTTAGGAGGGAACCTCCACAAGTTGCAAATCGCTTTCGGGCTAAAAGCTAGTGGGTCAGAGGTAATCAAGGGTACTGATTCCGAATATAACAATCATTTTGGCTGATAGTTCTTCGGAGACCGGATTTCTGGAAAATCAGTTTTTCAAAACTCCTAAAAAATAACTAAAACTTTTGTTAATGCGGCAGGAATGTAGCCCGCAGATTTTTGATTAAAATGACACCTCTCTGAGCTCTACACGATCTTTCTTTGCAAAATTGTAGAATTTACGAGAAAGGCCCTACATTAATTTCTTCTTATTTCTGTAGCTTTGTCAGCTGACAATGAACATTTAGGGGTTTTCTTGCAAACTCTATCGACGCCCTCTATCGATCTATGTGACTATCATTCAAACCTGAGGTGGTGCTGTAACTTCAAATTAGCCGAACCTTAATTGAACAATTTTTGTTTTTTCTCCAAGCAAAATGTTGCTAGTAACCATTTTAAGAATGTTCTGAAAGCGTCTGCTTATTCATTATAAGATCATTCCAATATTATTTTTGTCAATTGCTTGGTCATATTATGAAATAGTTTAACACTATATTATGGTTTTCATTTATCATTAATTCAGGGATGAGAGTGAAAAATTCGAAATACCTGCCAGGTTTTTTCTAAAAAAATTCAGGAGGCCAAAAAACAGTTTCATTCGAGCAGTTCTTTTGTAACAGTGTTCATGGTATTCTGCTATTCTGATCTTTAAGGATATAATATCCTTTTGAATTGAATTTTTTTTATCACTAACTTATGAGTTGAACCTCTTAAAACTAGCGTATCTTGTTCAGTTTTTCTGCTCGTTCGATTCATGTGTAACTCGGATTTTTAAAATGAGAAATAGAACAAGAAAAAATTAAAATATGACAAAAGTCTACTTTTTCGATTTTCAAGTTTTCGGTTTTCAGGTTTTTCCAAACATTTCAGATATTTCAGGTGAAATCGCCACCCTGTTAATTCGATTATCAATTAACCTTGAATAACTTTCAGGCGATAATAATCACCCTCGAGGTTTGAAATAAATAAAGGTCAATCACAGTCAACAGAAAAACAATAAAATATTTTTTTTGTCTTAGTATATCGGCTATACTGTTATTAGCAAACATCAAAAGATGTATTTATCAGTAGCGAATGTTTTAACATACGTTCATGTTATCTATTATTTCTGTTATCGGGTTAAACGGTCAAGATAAATGGCCACGAAGGGCGTTTTCGGGGGGGTCTCAATTTTCTCCAAGAAAAAAAGTCAGAGTTTTCCAGGAAATCCGTAGATGAACATGTCAGACAATTCTGGGCAAAAATACATTGATTTTCGTTTTCGATGTTCTATCTCTAGTATGAATTTGAACTCAATCGGATTTTTGCTCTCAATTTCCCAAGAAGATGTAAAAACAGAACGGATACCAGTAATTTTGAAATTTGTTTTGCTTACAAAAAGATGTGCGGTGATCTCGTCCATCGACTAACGAAAAATTGAAGTTTCTTTCCCTTTGTTGAATCGTTATTCCAACAATAACCAAGTACTTTCTCTTCGTGTTATAATCGTAAAAAAAGCTCCTATTCTTGCAACCGTTGATGTTATACCGTTCACCTATTGTAGAGAAGAATCAGATAAAATATCAAGGATTGTTATTATTAATGATCAAGGATTGTTGTTATTATCCTTTGATCTGACATGGACTGGCCATATAAATAAGATATGTTCAAAATTATCCTCCATTATTGACATAATGAAATTTTCTTAAACATGTATTGTGCAAGAATGTTCTTGAAATCATCTATAAATTTTGCGTATTAACAATTATTAATTATGACTCAGTTACCTATCCCATAACGGCAGAAACTAATTTGAATAAACTGGAAGGCTTGCAATATCTTGCAGCGCTAGTTACTTTAGGAACTACGCAGGGACATCTAAAGAGAAATTACTGAAAATTTTAGGATGAATTTCTCTTAAAGATCATTTTAAAATACTTCGGTTATTAAACTTTTCTAAAATCATAAAAGGCCTTGTGCCCCAATACCTTACTATACATTTGCAACATCAGCATCCTAACAATAAATATAATTTACTTAGTAACCAGAGATCTACTATTGAGGTGGTTGATAGTACTGGTGAAGATCTTTTTACTGTTGTTGCGTGAGAATGGAATGATCTTTTACAAAAAGACACAAGCTTTCTGACTATGAAAATATTGCTTACCGTTGCTAAAAATTTGTATCAATTGCAAATTGTACATAGTGATAGTAAAACAGGTTCACTCTAATCATGCGTGCACTGCGTGCACCAATTTTGTCAACCATATATTCATTTATCTACGATGTGTCATTGATTACTATAACAATCTGATGACTGTTAGAATGCGGTTACAGGTTGGGATTGCTTGTTCATTTGCAAATTAAGATTTTAGATTATTTCCGCCTGTTCGTCATTTATTCACCTTAGTGTCGTCATGTAGTTAGTTAATCATGTATACACTGTCTTTTTCTTCGTTGTGTTCATCTTCTTTGTCTTTCTTTCTTTCTTTCTTTCATTCTATTCTCTTTCTTTTTGGTTATATATATTCTCTACAGTAATTGACATACAAAGGTATACCAACTGTAGTTCAACAAACAACTGTGGTTCAACAAACAATAAATGACAGCAGCTGATAATTCATCACAAAAACATGATCCTGAACAAGTAGAAGAAATGGCTGTTGCCGATAGTGCGACGAACACCACCAATACTGTTAGAAAAACGAGTGACGGTTTAGAAGTTCTTGATGATACACAAAACTCAAAATTATCATTGCGTCAAATTCGAACTGTGTTAATATCATCAACGGGATTCTTCATGGATGCCTACGATATATTTGTTATAAATCTTGCAGTACCAATGTTGGGCTACGTGTATTATAGCCATAATAATAATAAAATTCCATCAAATATTCAAGGAGCAATCAAAGGTATAACAAATGTTGGGAATCTTATTGGTCAACTTCTATTTGGAATACTTGGTGATTCTGTTGGACGGCATAAAATATATGGTTTAGAATTACTTATTATCATCATTGCTACAATCGCCTCCGCCATGTCAGGAGCAGCTGCTACAGGAGTTGGAACACTGGGCTTTCTGGGCTTTTGGCGCCTATTGTTAGGAATTGGAATAGGAGGTGATTATCCTATGTCAGCTACGGTGACATCCGAGTGGTCATCGGCTGGTCGTCGGGGTCAAATGGTTGCTCTAACATTTTCTATGCAAGGATGGGGGCAGTTTTTCGGTGCACTTGTAGATATTATTTTATTGGCCATATTTAAACGTGCAATTGAAGCTGATCAAATCAACATTGATTATGTCTGGAGGATTTTACTTGCTATGGGTGTTTTGCCAGCAGTATGCACCATTTACTATCGTTTCATGCTACCAGAGTCACCTCGTTTTGCAAAAAATGTTCTCAAAGATGATACCAAGATGAAAACAGGACTTGCATTTGCCAAAATAAAGAATAATGACACATCAAAAAAAGAAGACCAAAAAGAACGTATTATAGCTGTAGTTGAAGTTCAGGATCAACGGGAAATCGAAAAGATAGAAAATCAACAACAACCAATTGAGCAACGTCAACATTTACGTGACTTCACCCGATATTTTTCAAAATGGAAACATTTTAAAGTCCTTCTTGGCACATCTTCATCATGGTTTTTACTTGATATTGCCTTTTATGGTCTAGCATTGAACCAATCAGTAGTTTTATCAGCAATCGGATTTGCACCCATGAACAAATCACCTTGGGAAACACTATGGAAGCAAGCAATAGGAAATCTTATTATCACCTTATTAGGATCGATACCAGGTTATTATTTTACAGTATTTCTTGTTGAAAAGATGGGCCGTAAAACAATTCAGTATATGGGTTTTGCTATAGAAACAATTCTCTTTACAATAGTTGCTGTAGCCTATCATCCTCTCAAGGAGCACGCTTTACCCGCATTTGTCATTCTATTCGTTCTCATTCAGTTTTTCTTTCAATTTGGTGCGAATACCACGACATTCATCATTCCTGCCGAGGTTTTTCCTACAAGATTTCGTGCTACGGCTCATGGAATATCAGCTGCCTCTGGAAAGGCTGGTGCAATTATAGCTGCATTTGCTTTCAACGCTCTAGTGGATGTCGGTGGTACGAATAGATTTTTACCTCAAACCCTTGGGATATTTGCTGCTATTCAGTTTTTGGGTATTTTTACCACAATGCTGATACCAGAACCAAAAGGGAAAGGCTTAGACTATTTCGAAGATGATAAAAGTGAGTGGCGGAAAAATAGTAGTACTGAGAAAGTGTAGAACACTATAATCTCGAGGAACCATGATTTTAGCTCTCTGATTTTGTAAATATTTTTGTTTTTTTGTACATACTACATATAACCAACATTGTTTTATTTTGCATTTGATGCATTATATTATTTTTTTATCTCAATCTCTTACCTGAAGTTGCTATGTTTATTATGCGTTGTTTCTCATAGAAACGTTGTTTTCTTATGTATGTGTGCAATCTGCATCGATAGTTTATTGACTTTGCACCAGCAAAAGTACCTTCTTTTTTGTAAATTGTATTATCTCAGCTGGTAAGATTCAATAAAAGTATGCCTAAATATGTGCGGAAGCAAAAATAAAGTAAACATGATCTTCGATTAGGTTATATTCGTTATTCGCTTACACAAAAAAGAATCAAACGCTATCATTCCGATTCCATTTAATGTTGAAAAATGCTCCATCCGAAAAGTAAAAACGATTGACCTTTCTCTCAGTTTCTGCTGTTTTCGTCCGTATTTAAAAATTTTCAATTACATATGAGTGAAGAAAACTGATCAAAATCTGATGTTTCTTCAGTTTGAAAACCGCAATTAACAGTGAAAAATATCCATGTATTTAGTTTTTTAAAATTCAAAACACTAGTCTTTCGTAGTAAAACGCTTCTCTCGTAACCAGTTCGTAGTTCACAGCAACAGTTTTAACGGAGTTTATAAAGCAAACAATTCTCTACAAGGTGAACTATTCTAAGTTGAAATAGAGGTGGGAGGCTCTGTCCAAAAATGACGTGTAATGAGTACCACTACAACTAGTATATATCATCAATTTACATGTCAAAACTTTATTTTTCACTCATAATACATTAGTTTCATAAAAAAACTGGTGTCCATGGCGTTCGGACAGGTGACTAGGTGATTTTATCCTTCAAAAACCTTTTCGGTGACGACTAAAGATTCGGCTGTTCTCAAAACATTTATTTTATTTTTCTGTTTGTAGTAAAGCACATAGTCTCACATCACATTTGATACATCGTTTTTTTGCAAGATCTTTATTTATGAACATAAGTTTTTCAAATGTTTGTCAGTTTTTCAATGATGACTGTTGTCGGTTGGAAATTAATGAAAATGTTACGGAAAACACAAATTATGATATGAAAATGAAATATTCGTTATTTTTACTTTTAGTGATATCATTGTTATAGCTATTAACGTTCTTGCACAGGGACAAATCATATATTTGAATACATTCGTTTAAAACTCATTATGTTTTCGTTTTGTATGAAATATACATCTATTTCTCTTCGTTTAAGCTTTAATTCTGAACCAGAAAGAAATCGAGAATATAAATTCCCATCATATCATTCTGAAACTTACACTGTCAAAACACAAAATCAATCCTTGCATGAAGCTAGAATTGAACACACGAACTTGGTCTTTGCAGACGAACTACCATCGGAACGTTAGCTGCTTATGGCAAGTTATTCTGATCACGTTCAAGGGAATGTCTCCCGGTTTTAGTTTAATTATAGTGTTCTATACTTTCTCAGTACTACTATTTTTTTGCTACTCGCTTCCATCATCTTCGAAATAGTCTAAGCTTTTCCCTTTTGATTCTGATATCACCGTTGTAGTAAAAATATCCTAAAACTGAATAGTAGCAAAGATTCCAAGGATTCCTCGCTAAATATATAATTTCCTGTTTTTACCCTTTCAGACAACAATGTACTGCACCAGTTTTAGTTGTTATTATTTAGCTTTTAGCTAAAAAAGTTGTTTTAATATAAAATAAATTAAATAAGGTAAGCTATTGGAGATGTTGCTCTCAATATAACGATAAGATATATGTTGTAGTTGATGTTAGAAAAATGAGATAGATATTCAGTAAGACACTCTCTGAGCTCAGCTGAGAATGATTTCTTTTGTAATTCATATGTAAGAAGAGAGAATTCATGCACACTTTGCAGTTTGAAATTCGAGTTTTCTAGAATCTCATTCGATTTCGTACTTTTAGCGAAATTGTATTCTTCTATACACATACGTACACACAAAAAAAGATGACCGGTAATGATAGTATATTCAACAAATTAATTGTTAAATTGAGTAATGATGGGACGACGAAAAAACGAGGACTATTTTCGAAATTAGTTTATAAATTGACACCTACACAATCAGTTGATAATTATAATATATGTTACGTCTTTACTATCGTCTTCTATATTTTCATAAAATATTCTATAATAAAACTCGTCTCTCATCTTTTAATTTGATCTTACCGCTATCTACTCGTGAAAGTTCTCAATTAGGTCATACTAACAGCGTTTTCATTCCTCGTCTCAAGCTAAAATCTGCATTGGGCTCTTTCGTTCCACGTGGTTCAAAGGAATGGAATGAACTTCCTTTGGTTTTAGCATGTTAATCTTCTTTGTCTGTATTTAAGCGTATGTTAAGAGATCATCTAGGCTTTCAATAACTTTTATGTTTAGATCTACTCTTTCTCTTAGGGGGAGTCCCAAATATGTGTCTTCGAACTATGTCAGTTTAAAGAGGACACCTGACTACATATATCCTTAAGTTCTTTCGATGAACTGGTAAGTATTTCCAGAAGTATTAATTAATTAAGTTTAAATTTTAACTAGAATTTGGGTAGCTGGTTCACATATTGCAAAGCTTCTAGCTTGGTTAAAAATAATCGTGGAAGTGTCATTCTTGCATGGTTTGATAGCCAATGATCTGTTGTTATGGTCTGATGAAAAACGTTTTAAAAAAATTTTCTTATACAAAAAAAAAGAAGTTTTCTTAAGACAATAATTTATAATTAATCATGCTAATAAACACTAATTAATATCACTCTGGTGCCTTACACTTTTATTTGCTAATTAACGATCTATTGGAAACGGTAACGTGATACGCCATTCGGCAGAGATTTCCAAGCGCTACAAACTTCTGTATTTCTCTTTTCAAAATGTTACCGATAAGCAGTTATTTGTACTCGGTTTTAGGCAAACGGTTTCTCAACAGAGCGGCGATGGATATTTTTTGAGTAACTCGAGAACGAAAAGAGATAGATAGTTCGGGTTTTCAGCATTTTGCAGAGAAGGCTTTGCTCCATCTTTACATCTATTTAGTTCTAAAAATCTTAGTTTTGCAGGTGGTGTACCTAACGGATGAGAACCGATAAGGTTGCCAGATTCTGAATCTGAGATGGATTTTTAGTTTCAACATGGTGACTAGATAGCCCAAAGTATTTTCAGTCAGATAAAATGCCTGTCATTCGAGAACCTTAGAAACTTTTTAGTTTAGGTTATCCTGGGGTCTCCGGATGTCACAAGCCTTTTGGTGCTTTTGTGTGATATCCTACCTTGGTGTAAAATAAATTTCAGTTGTTCAGTTCAATAATGATCCACTTAAAGTTAATGAACCAGCATTTGTGGGAGAATGGAGATGAAAATATGTCAATTTTTTTGTTGCACAATAGCAAATACTCGTTTGACTACTGTTCAGATAAAATTTCTGTGTCGCTTATTATTTTTGTAAAAACGTTTCACTCATTATCATATTGAATGAGTATATATAACGATAACAACAAAAGTAAAAACGGAAAAGTTTCAGTTCGTGCTATTGACATTGACAACTAAAAACCGTGAATCGTCTAATTTAAATTAAAAATGAGTGATTCTGTGCGGTCTCAACATTACTAGGTAAACTTAGCGATGCAGTTCTAAGTCTTTTGTGTTATGACTGCAGTTACAAACCACAGTAGCAGCTCAATGTAGTATTATGCGTCATACCTATGTGATTGTTTAAAGTCAGTAAACTTTTCACGAATATTTTTTTATTTTATGCAAAGGAAATAATTCTCTACATGATGAACTATTTTAAGTTGAAATCGAAGTGGGGATGTCTGTTCCAAAATCAGCTACGATAAGCACCACTGCAAGTTGTAGCCTACAACTATTATCCGTTTCAAAATATAGGATCCGTGGTTGTATGTTGAATAACTTTTGACAGGAATAAGATACAGACTTGCGGTTTTCACCATTCGAAAGAGGCGACTTGAGGACACGTTTCCATAAGCAGAAATCTTTTCACAAGGGTTTCTTAAAAGAAGTTCTACAAGATCTTCGAAGAACTTAGTTGTGTCTCAAAAACTTTCAATAGGATTATATTGAGTTTGCTGATGGAATGATAGCTAGTGGCGTATCTAGAATATTAGCGCCTCGCTGTACTTACATGCAAAACAATTAAGTTCTGTCGAACGGAACAGTTTCTCAAAATGCGATTAGTTTGTCCGGAAATGCAGTGAGATGCTAATGTTCTAGCTGTGCCACTATTGATGGCGTACGGTGTTCTGTTCAAAGTGGGAATCAATTATTTCGTTAAAAACTAGCCATGTTTAGCTGGTACTGTGATTTGTAACCGGAGTCATAACACAAAAGACTTAGAACTACATCACTAAGTTTAAGGGTGCCCCTCCCCTCTTTTTGGACTCATTGTAGAAATGCTGTTAAATAAAAACCAAAATCCATTAGAGCTTCATATTTCCAGAACTGATTGGAAACTCAATGGAGCACTTTTTCACTTTTATTTCTAGTTTTTAACTATTGTTGTTCACCAGTTTTCCAGAAAACTCAGTTTTTCCTTGGACTACATTACAACCCGCCTTAAATTTCATCCGATTGAGTTAAACATTTTACCAGAGATACTCAAGGTCATAGCGCAAAAGTATAATTTGAGAATTTTATTTTAGGCGTTTTTCAGTATTTTTCCTATAACTCGGTAAAGAAAGGTCTAAAATAAAATTCCCAAATTATACCTTTGCGCTATGACCTTGAGTATCTCTGGTAAAATGTTTAACTCGATCGGATGAAATTTAAGGCTGGTTGTAATGTGGTCCAAGGAAAAACCGAGTTTTCTGGAAAACTGGTGAACAACAATAGTTAAAAACTAGAAATAAAAGTGAAAAAGTGCTCCATTGAGTTTCCAATCAGTTCTGGAAATACGAAGCTCTAGTGGATTTTGGTTTTTATTTAACAGCATTTCTACAATGAGTCCAAAAAGAGGGGAGGGGTACCCTGAACTAGTAATGCTGACTATACCGCACAGAATCACTCATTTTTAATTTAAATTAGACGATTCACGGTTTTTAGTTGTCAATGTCAATAGCACGAACTGAAACTTTTCCGTTTTTACTTTTGTTCTTATCGTTATATATACTCATTCAATATGATAATGAGTGCAACGTTTTTATAAAAATAATAAGTGACAAAGAAATTTTATTTGAACAGAAGTCAAACGAGTATTTATAAGACGTTGAAAAATGATGCCGTCATTAGTCATCATCTTTCTCATCGTCATGCTTTTTCTTTTTGTGTGGTCTAAAATGTTCGTCATCTACTTCTTCTACTTGTAAATATCGTTCACCCTCAACATTAGTCCAATATTTATTTGTTTCTAAATTTCGTGCTTCAGTGGACATTTCATTTTCAATTGCATACACAATACGAGCACGTTCCAAATGCCTAAAATGTAAGCAAAATAAGTGTAATTTTGTATAGTGAGAATACAAATTATTTATCCTACCAAATTTGTGTTGCTCCCTCGATTACATTCCCATATGTATCACCCATCATAGCAATTAATAAATTCAACAATAAAATGGTTACAACAACAACGTAAACAATCAATAAACCGACACTGACATATTGAAATGTTGTCTGGGCATAAGTGTCAATATCAAAATCACCCAACATGCCAAGAAAGCATTGTTTAACACTTTCCAAAAATCCACTAAAACCTAAAAATTATACAAAGAAAGACACATAAAAAATAAACAAACAACTAAATGTTCATTAAATTACCATTAAAATTGAAAAGAACAAAAAATGCCTGCGAGAATCCGGCTAAAAATACCATATATATAATACAAAATCTTAAAACATCATTGCATAACATTTCAGAAATCATCACAATAAATGGTCCGGTTAATCGAAATGCCATGACGAAAAATAACATATAACCCCAACCAGCAATGGATGCCATAGCCAGAAACGCAATATTTGCTCTTATATCAAAAAAGCGTAAAATATTTACCATTAGAATACAAAAACAAAATGCACACGCCAACATATTTTCAACAAAACCAGAACCCTTAAGAACAATTAAAATATCATGCTCTCAATGGATATATTCACGATCCTGAGTCTAGTCGGCTTACTGTTGCACTAAGATATTTTCTTAGACCAGCTCCAATCATTTCATTAACTTCACATCTTCCTTTCCATAGTGCTCCAGCTAACACAAATCCATTACCAATTCGATGCAGCAGATAAATGTAGTTTTTTGGATATTCAACACTGGTTATCACCGCGTCTTCACCTTCTCCTTCAACCTGAAAAATGATAAAACAAACATGTACAAGGTGGAAGAAGAAAAGAGGAACGTTGACACACCGTTTCGGTTCGTGTTTGTTCAAATATGATGGTAAGCATAAATACAAATAAATAACTCAATGTAATCATAAAACGCTTAAAAAATATTCGTCCCGCAAATCGATCCCATTTTTTATCGATTAAATCTATCATTCGTGGATGCATTATTAGGTCAACATGTGCGTGTTTCACAATCAATTCTAATCCACCTATCTCAACTTCTTTACCCTAAGAAAAATATTAACTAAAGTGATATTAAATAGAAAAAATAAATAATTTTACCTCGACGGGTAATCCTAAATCGAGTTGATCTAATGGATAGAGAACACAACTAACAGGTCCAAATGTCCATTGAACTATTTTTCGTTCTTCTAATAAAAATGAAAACATTTCTTTTTGTCCTAATTTTGCAGCTAATGTTAATGGTGTTAAATCTTCTTTATTCAAACGTTTCCATAATGGAACTTCATTATCAAATTCATTAACCAAAGTTGGAGGACTAAAATCGTCGTTTAATATGCCTTTTTTACGATGATTTTCTTCAATCCATCGTGCCTTATATTTAGTATAAAGGTTCGGTAAATTATGAATAACTAATAAATGTAAGATATTGTTGCCATTACTATCGGCCTTAAATTTATTAAAAGTATATATCTGATTATTAATATTAATTCAAAATAAAAAGGTCATCGTAATATTCTAATAAATGGAGACTAGTAATAGGTAAGTAAGAGAAGAAAAGAAAATGAATTTACCATGTCCATATCTGCTCCACTGTTAATTAAAATTTCAACTAAATTCCATTGATTTGTACAAGCAGCAAATGCTAATGGATACTCACCATAGTAGCAAGGTCGTCCACTAAAAATATATACACAAATCCATCATTCTACATTATACTATGAGCAAATTAGAAGAGCACTTACTCTTTGAAAAAATTTCCTGATGCTGTTGCTTTTAACAACGTTTCTTTATACGGTTTATTACTTGGATCAACTAACAACCAATCTACCATTGCTGCATTCTTCTTTATAATGGCTATATGTAGGACATTTTCTCCATAGTATTCCTAAAAATGACAAATTATTAAGGTTTCAAAAAGGCATACACTCGATGATCTCTTTATCTGACCGCTTGATTGTAAATTTGTGTAGTGGCGTCTGGAAATTTTCCGATAACATACTTAGCCATTTCTATGTGAGAATCAGTTCCATAAATAAACATCATATGCAAAGGACATTCTCCCACAAATCCTCGTTCATTAACTTTACTAGGATCAGTACTTAACATATATTCTAATGATGCTTGATCTGCTTTTCTAATAATATCCCATATAGTGCCTGTTTGTCTTGCTGCTTCTGTCTGCTTTTCAACAGCCATTGAATTTGAATCGCCATCATCATGATCAACTGATTGTGTCGGTGTCAATTTATAAACTAATTTCGAAAATAGTCCTCGTTTTTTCGTCGTCCCATCATTACTCAATTTAACAATTAATTTGTTGAATATACTATCATTACCGGTCATCTTTTTTTGTGTGTACGTATGTGTATAGAAGAATACAATTTCGCTAAAAGTACGAAATCGAATGAGATTCTAGAAAACTCGAATTTCAAACTGCAAAGTGTGCATGAATTCTCTCTTCTTACATATGAATTACAAAAGAAATCATTCTCAGCTGAGCTCAGAGAGTGTCTCACTGAATATCTATCTCATTTTTCTAACATCAACTACAACATATATCTTATCGTTATATTGAGAGCAACATCTCCAATAGCTTACCTTATTTAATTTATTTTATATTAAAACAGCTTTTTTAGCTAAAAGCTGAATAATAACAACTAAAACTGGTGCAGTACATTGTTGTCTGAAAGGGTAAAAACAGTAAATAGGTGTAAATAGTATTATTCTTACAATTGTACAATTTTATCTGTACCTAGTTTGTTTTGAAGGTCGCATTATCATATGGATGCTTGGAGAAAAACATATAGGTGGTGAAATGAAGCGAAGCGACGGAACAGGTTAAAAAAGCAACATGTGCTTATCCTCGTCATTTTGAAAAAAATTTGATGTTATTTCTTTTCTACTCATACAATGTGACAAAAAGTAATAACAATGTTACAAAAGCAAGAAAATGTCCTATAAACATAATTTTCCAAATTAAATATACTTTGGCTGTGTCTACCTTCTTCTATATTTGAATAAACTCATCCCTGGTATACGCTCAGCCACCGTAGATTTTGTTCACATTTTTAGGCCTGCATATATGTATTATCCTGCAATAGATCTATGAGAATTTTCTAGAATTAGTAGAACATCTAAGATGTAAACGTGTGAACGGTGATGAATAAATCAAGATATTCTCAAAGAACGTGACTCAAGATCAAAATGTGATATTTGACTTTGGAATTTGAAATATTGTCATTTGTGTCATTAAGTTATTAGCAGTAGAAATAACAGTACAATAAAATTAATAGAACACTAGTCCTTCTAACTTAATATAAAAGTAGTATTGATTACTATTCTATTTGGTTAGCACTTTCTACTTGCGAAAAATACAAAAAATAAAATATTGTACATTCATTTTTATATAGTGTCTAGCCGTATATATACTGTCTACCACAACCTGTAAGACAAGAATATCGTCAGAAGAGCGATAAAAAACAGTCTTTACTTTGTTTTAGGAACTTCCAGATGTTTTAAGTTAGACTTCTAATCGAAGTCTCACATTAAAAGTCAAAATTAATTACAATTCAATGATAACCTACTTCGGTACCTTCCAAGCAATTTAGACGAAGATGGATATCTGTGTGCTTCACAGGTAAAAGCCTTTCTGCGACTGAAAGAGAATCGACTTCCAGGTTTTCTTAGAAGTCGCATGTAGTTGTTTTTTTTAGAGTATTGGATCGTATTAAAAAATTATCAATATTAAAAAGATTAATTGTTCGAGAAATATTCATAAATTTATTCGACAGTATATTCAGTTTATCACCATCTATTCTAAATCTCTATTTAAGTGAAAATATTCTCCATACATTCATAAGAAAAGGCGAAAAACATGCCAAAAATGTATAATTATATAACAATGAGTTTGCTCAAATTTCCCAGAAAATTTTCTTGTGACAAATAATTTAGAAATTTTATAGTTAATATAAACCCTTTTTTGTTAATCATCAACGTTAGAAAACTAGATTTTAATAATATATCTTATCCACTATGGATTGAGAGATGCTGATCTCTCTACTAATATTATATCTGTATCAAAATTAATTTTTTTGATAATTAATACGATGAAATATGAAAAGTATTCTCAAACAAGATTGGATTTCAGTTATACATTTAAGACCAACAATAGAAATTAATGAAAAAAGTAGAAAAGGTTTGATTTTTCATATAATAGTATATATCATATAGTTCTTGATAGAATTAAACGAAGAAAATACGAGCTTTCGAATTTGTGTGCTCATTTAATGCGGATGATATTTTTTGGAATTATCAGTAGTTTCTTATTCTTATATTTCGAAACTGACAAATTATTAATTTAATTACTTTACAACTCTATAAAAACTATACCCGAAAATGTACTCTTTTCTTTTTTCATAGTAGCAGAACCATTGAAGATCTTTGACAAACCATCGAGGTTTCAACCATTGAGATTTTTTCTACATTAGCAAATCCAAGATCGCTACCCATACTTTCATTTTTATTATTTCTTGTTCAGTCGTTGATAGTCTATCGTATAAATAATACATTGAAGTTTTATTAGAATAGATGATGAGATTCCTTACCGGTCCTAATCAATAAATACATTTACGGACAAGAGGTACACAAATTCGAGATCGATTAAATAACCATCGTTCTTCAACGTTTATTTTTAGTCGAGTTTTCTTTGGTTTGCGACTCGGTTCAAAACTGATCCAGATATCCAATAATACAGTAATAACACAGTTTTAGTGCAATAAATAACGTGCACTATGCGGTAATTTCGATGATTTACTTGTTACGAATATTTGCTCTTTATTTTATTCTGGTGCTGACCTGATCAAAGTTTTTTATTTAACTTATTGTCACTGCCATTGTCAACTAAAACATCGTGGACATAACGTAAATTTGATTTCGTTAACTAGCATTTGATGTTTTTCAGTGTCGTCCTGTCCGAATAACGGTCTACTTTTCCGTAGGTCATGACATTTTGTCAAGATTGCGGTTCTGCGAGCAAAGCCCTTACAAAGCTCGGAGACGTCTCATTTAAGCAAACATTTTTCTTTAGAACGATAATTAAGTGAACTCTCATAGCCGGCACCACGGTCATATACAGACTGCAAACTGAACGCCTTACTCGAAAAATGTGGCATCCGTTTCAAAAACTTTATCTTGAAGTCCATTTAGTTATCCACACTTGCTTAATTATTATTTTAAAGAAAAATGTTAGCTCTTCAAAACGAGACATCTCCTAGCTCTGTAAGAGCTTTTCTCGCAGAACCACAACCTTAACAAAACGTGACTGACTGACGGAAAAGTAGACCGTTATTCGAGCAAATCCTCCAGGCAAGCCTTCCTTTGAATCAACGCGCGTGGAAACACGTTAGTTTGGAGGGATATAACGCGTTTTGACGCAGTGGTGTGCTATAATTGCATCGAAACGCGTTTACATCTAACACGTTAGAGCGCGTGAGAGAAAACAGATGCTTTAATTACCAACACGTTAAGATGTGTTGATTATCAACGCGTTTAGCAGGACCATTATTTGGTGACCTAACGCGTTTGGTTGCTTGGGAGATAATACTAGGAGATCGAAAATTAAGTGTGCTTAGTATTTTTAACACGAATTTCAAGCAAAGTGTACAAGTGCATTTTGTTCTTTTAACCAAAGTGTACTGCAAGCGTAAAAAATGTTTTTTCAAAGTGATAAATAATGGCCGAGTAATAATGGCATATAGCTCAGCACACCTGTTCTTAAAACGATGTATGTAAATAACCCAATCAGTAGAAGCTTACGAAAAAATGTAAAAGTAAACAACGCATTTAATTGAAATGCGCATCGAGAATGATTATGATTTGTTATTCTATAGAGTGATAGAAAAGGTAGATGCTTTCACTTTTACATTAGCACTCTCTTCCCGTTACACCGTTCTTCTTCATATATTCAAAATCGTATTCTTTCTTTTCTTACTCATTCTAACACAAAATACTGTCAAGAAATACTATCATGCAAAAGTGGATCGATTATCTAACCATATATATACCTGTACAATATGAAAAACCGAAAAAAAAAAACTAAATTCATCAACAATTTCACAAAACATATATATGTTGTAGGCGAAACTTACATTGGAGTTTTACATGAAGTTTTTCTAGGCAGAACTTCAATTTAAGTTTTATCTCGGCATATTTTAAATCTGCCAATTTAAATTTTGCTTACAACATATACACATCTGTTTTACAACTAAATACAACGAAAACAAAATAAATACTTCATCATGTCTTACCCTAGAGAAAATAAAAAGTAGAACTGATCACACGTCGGAGAAATGAGAATGATCGGTTACATTATCAAATGCTAATACTCTCAAAACAGAAATAGCTTACTGGGACAGATGTCATTCATTAACATATTATGATATGCTGGATACACTAGTTCTGTATTCTC